GAGGACGTTGCAGTCAAGAATAAGGAAAAATATACTTGTAATAAACCTTATAAGTAAAGGTTTGCATTTGGTTGGGTTGTTGAACTGGTTTTAGGAATTGTTGTATAACTTAATTGTAAAATCGCTTTTAGTTAGCATACCGAGCTTTTGGTGCAGCTCAATAATGGAGCAGTTTCGTTTGAGTTTTCCAATGACTGTAAGAGATTCGTTTTGATTAAATTTGATTTTTAAGTTTGGATACAGATAGTAAAATTATATGAATGTTATTTATTCAAGGTGCTGTTGGTTAATTCGTAGAAATTTTGTTTCAGCCCATTTATATTTAAGGCTAAGGAGATTTAGGGTGGGATTGGCGGTGAGGGGGACGCGGGGGCGAAGAGAAATTCATAGGAAGCTATGATCTGGATTTTTTCAGAGGGTGTTGAGGCCCATTTGAGTTCTGAGATCATGGTTTTAAGGTCTTCAAGGATTTGGAAGATATTGAGGTTATTTAGGTCCTCAATAATGGATTTAGCTGTGTTTGTGCATGAGTTTGTAATACTTAAATGCGTAAGTGGTGGGTGGTCAGTTGACGGTTTTGGAGTTCTAGAGGTTCTAGCAGGTCTCGGAAGTTGCTGGTGGTTTTTCACTAATGATGGAGTTGGAAACGATGGTCCCGCTGGAGAAAAAAAAGGAGTACCTGGTGTGGTTGGAGTTCTAGTCATGTCTGACTTCTCTGAGGTTGCTGATGCTATTGGAAAGTCCGGTGTTCCAAGGAAGTGGATGGATTTCGCTAGCTCAGCGAAGGTTTTTGTGGATGTTGACTTGAATGGGTCAGCAGCAATTTTTTCGTGGAGCAGCTGATGTTTTTATTTGAACTCTGCCTGGTTTTTGGCGTAGTTCAGCCGGTTTGGGCATTTTCTGAAGCTTGCTGTGTGGTCAGCACCGCAGTTGGCACATTTGACGGCTGAGTTGGTGCAGGATTTGATATCATGCTCCCCTGAACATTTGACACATCTGGGTGGGAGATGGCAGTGAGCACTGGCGTGCCCGAACCGTTGGCATTTAAAGCATCGGGTGGGTTGATCGGATTTTATGAATTTCTCGAACTTGAAGGTGTGGTGGAGAATAGCTTTAATGGAGGTTATATTTGTCACGGTCATCTCGTGGCCGACTGTGATTGAAAACATAGGCAAGGGGATTTTCTTTCCAGTGTCTGGATCCGATTTAATAAATTGCTGGACTGAAAGGGTTTCTCTACCCTTATTTTTGAGTTCTTCAGAAATATCTGATTCTGAAAAGGAGGTTGAGAGACCCTTGATGATAAATTTTTTAGGTCTCTCGCTTTTGAGCCCGAAGGTGTAAAATTTGAAGTTATTTTTTTGCAACAGTTTGGTGATTTTGGTAAAATCCTCTGGGGATTTAAGGGAGATTTTGGTGTTGTTCCCATTATATTTCAAGTTGAAATCGTTATTGGAGACATTCACCTGAATGAAGTTGATCAGCTTTTTGGTGTTCAGTTTTCCATTCTCCAGGATGATGGGTGGAACTTGAGGTTGATTACTCGACCCAGCTGATGTTGTGGGGTTCTGATTTCCTTGTTGGTTGTGGATTTCACCCGCAGACGATGGAGGATTAGAGATGATTTTGTCATGAGGGATTTTGGGTTTCTTGAAGACTTTGTTAGGAGGACTCATTTTCGGTTTCCTTTTGGTCAGAAGAGAGGAGTTTGGTCTTTTCAGAGGCACTCTTGGTGCCTGATGGTTGGTTTTGGGATTTTGATTGAGTTGTGGGAGTATAATTGGTGAGTTAATTGAATTAGTCAAAGTGTACTCAGCAATCGAATTATTGCTAGGTTACGCGTTATGGGATTGAGCGGGAAGGCATGTGACTGCACAGTACCGCTCGCAACGCAAGGACCTAATACGAAACTCTTGTAGTAAGAGCATAAAAACGACTTCATAAATTTCAGTCAATTATTTTTGCGCATTTCTGTCCTTCTTTAATCAATTGACAGAAAATTAATTATCACCCGATTACTGAGTATTTCTGTAATTTATCTAATTAAAAAATAATTGCAATGATAACAGCAATTATTACTTTTATCACGAACGCCTCCTTTTCCGAATTTTTCATTTATTATTCACTTGGCCTCAATGAATGCCGATTCCGCTGAAATTTCAACGGATTTCATTGATTAATTTTAATTATGATGTGATTCTACTCAATAATTATTTTAAGTGAGGCATATCGGGGAAACTACGTGGGGCCCATGAATTGCCAATGATGTACAAACCGACCTTTGTTGGATCGATGTGGGCCAACATATTGGCGGAATACCGACCAACCGAGTATCGGCGAACGAAGCTGGCCAGTGTACTAGCCAAGCATCCGAAAGCCAAGTGTTGGTCAGCAGATGCTGGCCAATACATTAGCCAAGTCTGCAGGCTCGGTAATTCCTACATGGGAAGGCCGGATAGTATTTTTCCGTAGTGATTCTCACGTTTTCGAGTTTGGAAAGTATGTAATACCAATTCCCAGACGAGAAACCATGAAAAGCCGTACGTAGAAATAATTTTCATCATACTAAAAAATAACTCTTGAGGCACGCTTCGCTTCCTTCGCGTGCCTAAAAAGTAACTTTGCGGCATATTGCGAAGGAAAATATTGTTCGTAACTCGTTCAGAAAGTTGTTTTTGGCATGTGAGATTATGCCACTCGCCTTCCGCTCCTGTTATAAGTCTCCCATGCGTCAAAAATCACCTTTCCACACTTGTTACGAAATATATTATTCGAACATTTACTTTGCACGGATTTTTGTGGATAATTTCACAAAACGATTAAATTAAAAAAACAAAATGGACGAAATGAAATATAATAATCAATAACGATCGTATTTTGAAAAAGGGTTGATAATTATAACATAAAATGCGGGTGTTTATACACGAATGTGTCAGAATCATGACAAAGAAGATTCCGGCCTAAAAACATTGCATTAAGACAGCTCTTCTTTTTTTAGGGAGGATCACAGATTTCCAAGAAATTGCTGCAGTTTAGGAACTACTCTACTGAATTGCGGCCAGAAATATTTTTTAGTGATACCCATATTATGGGACGAACTTTTAGACTTCAAGCTTCAGCTTTCGTCATTTTTATATCTTGATTTATAAAATTTTTCGAAATCATTGACACATCCTGTCGTACACAAATACATTTGTGATGCTACAATTTCATATTTATTCGTTTCTGGCAAAATTAGCGAATTGAAATACCGGTCGGTTAGAAAGTTTCTATTCAGAAGTGAAAATTGGAAGAATTTCAGATTATTTATCGAAAGTCAAAGTTAATAGAATTACAGGGATAGACGAAGACAGGGAAATTCTGATCTTACGAAATCGCGAAATAAGTGCCCTTTAAACGAAATTCGGTTCAAAATTATTTTAAAAATTTTATTCAGCAAGCCTAGCATTTCTGCATTAATAAATCACTTATTGAAATTACAAAATTGAATGTATAATGAGTCCAGCGTAGAGGAAAAGCTTTATGAGGCAATGAGTTTATTTGAATTCGATTTTTTTTATCGCGGCGTGATTAGAATTTTGAATTTACTATTTTTATATTAATTAATAAATGAGTCATTATTTATCGCTATGTGGTCGGTATCTTAAAAATTTCCCTCTCATCAACTTGAGTTTCTTTCAAGATTCGCAAAAATGTTATTTTGCTGGTTACATGGCAAACGTAACCGAGAAAATTTTTTTTTTAAGGATATTATTCGTAATAATGTCTTGGTTTTTTGTTGTACGAAATTGTAGGAATGGAAATTGGAGAAAAATGGATTTAAAAAAATGTATAACAATACCATTATAGGATGGAAACGATGTCAAATGGCAGAAAAGATAGTTTTTCTTTCTCCTTATTTTATAGTCACTAAGTAAGTGAATGGTCTCTTTTTTTTCAAGAGAATAATGATTTTGACACTTAGAAAATGTTTGTTGTAAATGAAGGCCTTTGCTCCGAATTCACAAAATGGAGTCATATTTTGGAGAACGGGTATGGAGGTAATAAAAGAAACAATTTTCGCTAATTACACATCCTAATTGAAAAAAAAAATTAAAATTAATGAGACCGTCATAAATTCCAAAACGTGTGTCCTTAGATTCCCTAAATAATTTCTCACTGATTGAATAGATTAATGAATGACTTCCATTTGAAATTAACCTGAGAAAAGTTATGGGCATCGAGAGTGGGAAGTGGTAGTAAGGGACAAAAGTGCGCAGTATAGCAAAAAGCTCGAATACTATCATTTATTAATTATTGTCTTTAATTCAATGTCCCAAATTGTAAAAATGATTGGGATTGATTTCTTAAATCATTCTACATAATTTCCATTTGAAAAACCAAAAAAAAACTTGTTTCGCTAACTATACGCCCTAAGTTAAAAAAATTAATAAAAAATTAATGAGATCGCCCTAAATTGTACAACCTGTGTCCTTAATTGACCTAAAGGATTTAGAATTATTCCATAGGCAAATTAATTATTTCCGATTATTAATGGGCCAGGTATATTGCGGGATCCCACACCGACCCCGTGCAAATTACCCCCTCTCTTCCATCGTCTTTGCCTTCCAGGTGATAGGACGAATGTGTAAATTATTATTCGATTTAAAATAATCAAATGCTTAGAGTAGAACAGCAGTGGAGCGTGACTTGTTGTGTTAGTCCTGGGATGGTGAATGCGAAGCAATGGGAAGGATTGGCGTGTGATACGGGACGGTTTTTAAAAGAACTGTCTAGGTATGATACATAGAAAGAAAATTATGAGTTCATGTTATCGTTGGCATACATTTTGTTTCCAAATTTGATAGACCTCTTATTCTTATTCTGATCGGAATACGACCGCCAATAGGCAAATTTACGCGCAGTCATATTTCAAATCATTGACAATTTCAATTTTCCGCGAAAAACGATGTACCAATTTGTTTTTTTCGGGTTCAAGGAGAAGAAATTTCTGAACTTACCTGATAATCGATCATCATCCCACATACTTTGCCTCCTTGCAAGACTTCCAGCACTCCCAATACTTATTTCTTCATTATGATGTCCGCTAACACTTCCTCGTCGCCCATTAATTAACGGTTCTGCACCTTTTGCTTGCAGTTTCGTCTTTAACTCGATATGCGGAATTGATAGAGTGTCTAAGGTTGCTGTGATCTAGAAAGATGCTGATCTTGTTAACAGTTTCCTTATCAAAATGTAAATGAATGATTTTATTCATTATAAATAGCTGTAATTTGATAATTACCGATCTTCTGAAAGCTACAGAACCAAATCCAGGTCTGTTGAAAATACTGGCAGGCTCTTGGAAGAGTACTGCTTCTTCAACAACATCCTTCGAGACACCTTTGACATCCTCCTCCTCTTCCTCACAGTAGTTTCTATCTCCTAGAAGGTCCGGGGTACTCTGAGCTTTACTGAGAGTTCCCCATACATCTGAGATTCTACCCCTTTTCCCCATCTGTTGAGCCTGGTTATCATAAGTTCCAACGTACATTACTTCTGAGTCCCTCCGAAGTCCAGTTAGACTCCTTACTGATTTCTTTCCATCATTTTCAATCTGAAAATTGCTTTCAATTGCGTTTAATTGAATTTTAGAATACATGGAAATATTTGGTTAAATATATCCAAGTTGAGAATATCCCATTAAAGTAGAATGCCAGGTCATGTGAAAACTTTAATTTATTTCAAAATTTGAACTGTTGGCTTGGAGAGACTATAAAATTACCCAAATCTGACAATTTAGTTTTTCTTTAAGGCCAATATGAATATTTTTACGGTCCGGAAGTCAGCTGTACCAGAAAGTATTTCATTCCTTCACAGAAAAAGGCAGTTCTTCGCGATTAATAATTTACCATCGATTAATTAAAGTGAGCGTTGATATTGGCTGTCAGCTCAGTCAACGCTGTCTCAAATGACAATGTAGTAACAGCTGACTTATAAAATGGTGCTCAAATTGCAGGAATGCGAAGTATCTAAAATTATTAGAATATGTTCAGTCCTCTTTTAGCCAAAATTCCCTTTTTTTTAGTTTTCTGACAAATTGTTGTAAAAGAGTATACCGTTTCCGCATTTTATCGTTATTTAATGACTCCTAAAATGTTATAATTTCGTTATCATTTTCCGAAATGTTTTCTAAACTTTCCACAAATTCCTAAAATTTTAGACAAAACACAACAATCACAATGACTACATGCTTATGAAATCACGCGAGTCACGAAATAATAATAAAATGCAAAAAGGGTATATTTTTTCAGGAAAATCTAGTCAACAATTCATCAGAAAACTAAAATAAGGAGGCAATAGCAGTTATGCGACTGTACATGAGGTATTGCAATGTATGGGTATATTTTCTTTACCATCAATAAATTGATGGCGAAATTCCGAATGGTTGTTCGCATATGTTTTTTGTCATTTTCTCAATTTATATCTATTAAGACTGTTGAATATTGTATCTATTAAGAGTGTTGCATATTTATGATTATCCCAAAATCGGCGAACTTTGGTCCAAAGAGACAATGATTCTTTAATTAAACAATTCAAAGTCATCGGTTGCTTCAAATCCTTTCTTAATGAAGTCAGTAAAAAATTGATCTGAGTATAACCCCCGTAGAAAAAAAAAGTATCTTTGGAATATTTTCCAAATATTTTTGGAAGAATCGGTAAATGTCTAGTCCAGGTCCACCAACCCATTCTGGATGTTTTGTATTTGATCAGGTAGGTTTCCGTCACTTGATTAAGGATCTAGTCACTTTGTTATTCGGAAACAATTAGTGTGGGAGATGTGACGTTTAATACACCGCTCTCTACGTTATCCAGGACCACGGCGAGGACGTGGCAGTGTGTTGGCTCTGAAGACACCACATGTTAGGATATTTAAAGACAACGGACAAACAGAAAGATGAATTTATCTTTTAGTCCTGAGTACTTCATTAAAACCCTGAATTCACCTCTTCCGACCATCTACCCTCGCTGAACGAACACCACGAGTGACTTATTCGCCCTACCCTTCTGTAGCTATTCAAAATATTGAATTAAATATCACTTACTCGTCGCGTCAACAGCTATAGCAGAGGCAAGTGGGGGTTTGTGGAATTTCAGGTACAACAGAGTTTACCTCAGGACTACTTATCGATGTATTTCTCTCCTTGTTGTTTCTCTCTCTTCTTTCATCTTGTTCTTCACGACCGAGATGATAAGAATGGTTTTCATTCAAAGAAATTCACGTTTCAATGATTTTTGTTTTTTGGTGGACCTGAACCATACATTTACTGATCTTCGGAAAAATTTTCGTTTTTTTTTGTCTTCAGAAGACAATGCTTTAGCATTAGATCTTTGGAAGAATTTTTGCTTTTCTTTATTTTCAGAAGACAATGCTTTTTCGAAAGATCTTTGGAAGAATTTTGGTTTTTCCTTGTCTTCAGTGGATAATGCTTTTTCAAAGGATCTTCGAAAAAATTTTCATTTTTTTGTCTTCAGAAGACAATGTTTCTTCGAAAGAGCTTCGGAAGATTTTTTTTTATTTGTTTGCAGAAGACAATATTTTTTCAACAGATCTTTGGAAGAATTTTTGTTTTTCTTTGTCTTCAAATGACAATCTTTTTTCAAAAGATTTTCGAAAAAATTGCTTGGAAGGTATGTTTTTTTTTGAAGATCATCAGAAAAAAAAAATTCTGAAGATGGGAATGTTTTTTGTGAAAATCTTTAAAAGAGATTTATGGCATTTTCTTCCCACGTGTAATTGGCTGCTTACTGCACATTGAAATTGTTTCGTATTAAAAGTATATTCATTGCATTCCAGGATCAAATGTCTCGAGTGCGAATAATTTTCTTCTCGACAATCATTTGCTCTTTTTTTTGAGAAAAATCATGGGAACTCCCCCGACCACACCATTCTTCTCTATTTTTTTCTGAAACATTAAGGACCCGCGTGCTTTCCCCAAGATTTAAACCCGACAAAATTTTCCGCAAATATTCAATCCAATGTTAGTATGACAGTGGGTTTTTCCCCATAGGGTTGCTAATGCATCCACAGAGTCTCAGAAAATGAGTTGATCATAGTTGACCAGTAGTCGTTCCATAATTAAAATAATGCAATTAGTATCCATTCCCTAGCTAATGGTGAATAATGGAAGAAATTAATTTATAAAAAATTTGCCCCTTGCCAGCCGGGGGTAATGAACTAAAAATTTTCAAAATATTAAATTAAATACATATATTTCAATGGTAAACAATGGTAAAATATTAAAAACGGTTAAAAAGGATTTGTTTACTTAGAAATAAATAAATATTATAGTGGCGGTAGCGGACGGGGCAGGCACGCAGCGCTCCATTAACCCCTCCCCCAACGGGAGAGTTTCCAGCAGGATTCATATCTCAGGGTCTCTAATTTCTGCACTACTCATTATATTCACATCAGTAACATTCATTACCAGTTACGCTCACAAAGACTCCTCTCGGAATGCCTTAGCGTCGATAAACTGCTTTGCATGTACGAGGAATATGAATGTCAATGGAGCAATCACTTAAACATAAACGTTTGCCCAGAAAAATTAAGAAAGAGTGCTCCAAAAACCGCGTGAAAATTGGCAAAACTACATTTGAGACCTTCAATGATAGCTCGTTATCAATCACAATGATTGAATGTTTTGAAATTCTTAAGAGTGGAATAAATAGTTTCCTGAAATAGTCAACAATGAGCATGGAAAGTGCCGATTCTCATTCGAGTTTTATTAGTGATAGAAATGAAGTAGAATTCTAATGAATCAGTTGTCAAATTTAGGTTTTTCGGTAATATTGAGAGAGATACAGGGTTTGAAGGGACTTATCAAGAGATATGATTTTTAGGTGGTGCAAGTTTCTATAAAATATTTTCGAAGAAATCCAGTTGTGTCCTCTTTTTTTCAGATATTCCGCATCCAATCTTCATCTTAGTTGTGTAAACAGTTCATCGTTCTCAGTTCTCTTCAGTCTCACAGTTCCTTTTGGATTTTCTTGGAGATCTGGAAAGTTCAGAACATTTTTCAAGAAGTTTTCCTCGCAGTTAATTTTTTTGTAAATGCAGTCAAACCCTTGTACCGTACGAATAAATAGGTCTGCAATCCCTCAAAACATATCTGGTGGTAAATTTATATTTGGTGGTAAATTTAATTTCGTATTGGAAATGTTTCTTTGAACATTCTTCCCAATCTTCTTCTCGGTAGGAAATAGGTAATACTCTAAATGTCAGTTTCCAATTAAGTAGAAAATAAAAAAACCTCAATTTTATTCGTTCAATAAGAGTTTTCTCTTTCATAATATGAATAAACTTAGAATTTTTGTATTGAAAATATTTATAACATCACTCAAAAAGTACTAATTATAGTTAAAATACAAATCGGCCCCATCCATGGTTCTGGCTGGTAGATCAGTCACGGAGGACTCTTATTGGTCGTTGCTTCTTTTCCTTCTCATTTCATCTTCATTAAATCCCTTTTGTTCAGTTGGAGTCTCATGATTGATAATGTTATTGCTGGAGGGATGTGCTGAGTTCAGGTGGTTCTAACGATGTTGGGAATACTGGAAGGTTAGGGGTACCAACAGAAGGTCTTTCAGACATTGAAGGGGCTAGCCTTAACGTGATGAAGTCGTGAAACCAGGGCGAAGCATCTGTGGAGTTCTGTCGAGCTGAGGATTTCGTGCTGACCCCCAACACGTATTCTCTAGTGGAATCGCGTACTGGATTGCATACGACTACTGCGAGAACCAGTCTGGGGATGCAAGATCTTTTCTCTGCGAAAAGGCGAATTTAACTGCATACAGACATCCAGTTCTGGTTCCCTGACTTCAACATAGTTTACACCAGGCACACCTGCTCACGTGTACTCTAAGTATCACAGGACTCGCGTTTCAGGTTCGGTCTATCTTGAGCTGATGCCATTGCTGAAGTAACAACCAAGGTTCTGGTAGGAGAAGACTGATGTTCGTGAGTATTTGATGGTGCGTTCCAGATTAAGAATGTTTATGAAGTTACTTGAGAAAAGCTTTATTGAGTACAATAAAAGTTGTAAGAGTATTTTTCCCGGGTCAACACCCCGGGATAATCCTCAAACTATTCTGGCTGCCGCCTCTATCGTTCACGATTGGGCGCCAGCCAGGTTTTTCTGGAAAACCTGACGGAAAACCAGCCGCGAAGGAATTTCGTCAACTCCGCGGACTTTCGGTGGCGGGTCTCACAATGCCGAGCCAGCATCAACATGACACGGTAGAGTGGGCGAGGTTCACCAACGTACGAGTAACTTCAATCACTAACT